TGCCCACCCCCAACTCCCCCAGTGCGAGCCCATCCGGCCCGCCACCGGAAGCGGCAGGAGAGTTTATACCTCGGCCTCAGCTAGGCCCCGCCTGCTTGCACCACTTCGGCAGAAGAGCAAGCCCATCCCGCCGCAGCGGTGCAAGCAGCGATGCCCATTGCCCAGTCGGCACCCGCTTGGAGGGTATATCAAGGAGGATTTTCGCCAACCTGGCCGTATATTAATTTCCTATAATTTTGTGGACCACTGTACGTACGTATGTATGTACATACATACTGTTAAATGAAGATACATATTCCGAATGTGTGAAGATTGTGAATTTGGAGTCTACGGCGAAACTTCTGCTTCATGCTGCAATTTAAGAGCCATTACTGTATTCGTCACAAGCTGAATGGCTTTGATTTACTTCTCAGCACTCATTTCGGCAATGGTGGCAACAATCATCTGTCCAAAAGCTCGCAAGGTTTCGCTGCATTTCGGTGCCAGCTGTTCTTTGCAAACATTTTTGTACAACTCCAACAAGGACCAAGCTGTTGAGCTTTTTGCAGCGCTTCCGGACGGTGCATCCAACGCCTTGCATTCTCTTGTGTATCGCTCGCGCAGTGTCTTCCAACGTTTAGTGCATTCTTCCTCTGCAACAAAACATGCAAAAATTTTGAAATACAGTGATATCAATACATGAGGACTAACCTGTGGCTCCTAAATCGTTGGCTATAGCCTCCCATGCCGATTGCCTTTTTAGTGGCAGCCGGTAGCCCGAGGAAAATTTATTATAAACGACTTCAAGGCTCTGTACTAGTTGCACCAAACGCTCGTCATCGAACATCTTGAAATAGAATAGAAATCAGTATTTCTTGCAAATGTAATTGTATTAAATATACTTACAATATTCTTAAATTTATTGTTTCCGTTTTCTGATTTCAATTGAATGATCAAACAAATATCAATGCTATCGTCGCATTAGGGTTATTCACGATGTGTGAACAAAAACAGCTGATTTTTGGTTTCTTTGGGTATACATATGTATGTATTTGTTAACAGAAAAATTGATTGAAGTGGCAATTAAGTGATTAATTGATTGAAGTGGTTTTAATAGGGCATATTCAATTAAGTCGAAGTTCAAATGAAGTCGACAATAAAAGATCTTTGCAGCTTGACATAATTTTCAATGCAATGATTATGAATTAAAAATAATGAATAAAATGAAATAAATAAATAAATAATGAATAAATAAAAAATCCCGCAATATACTTTTAATATATAGTGATATTACAATTTCTAGCCTGTGACGCTTATATTTTTCACTTACAACAGTATTTTAAGTATAGAAGTATTTTTTATTACAAATCATGTATCAAATTAAAGGTATTTTTGTGCTCTTTCTAATGAACATATCTTTTAATAATGTTAATCACGTTTTCTTTTAAGAAAAACATAAATTTGTATTACAGAATGACCATCATTACGATTTTTAATTTTTCTCGAAATATGTATCCTTTTTATATACGGATATTCATATCAAATAAAAGGTCTTTCAATGACCTTTCCAACCTTGTCCACACTTTGAAAATAGGTTAAACAGTTTCCGAAATATAAGCTTTTGAAAATATTATGTTTTATTATTTCACCCCTCTAGCACCGCCCCTATGAATTTTCACCATTAAAATCACGAAAAAGGGGCGGGCCACGTTCACTTTTTTTTCTCTAGTTAAACGGGCTTTACTTGTTCTCAAAATTGTACACATTCCCCATACATGCTTTGCTAATTAATTTAATTGTACTTGTGTATTTATGAATATATATTCTAATCCCACGTTTCTCCAATTGTCTTGTAGACTTCCCACTAATAGTCTACCTCTAATGGCCTAGTTACAGATGGACACTGGCAGTAGCAGTACCGTCCCGACACCTGCACATCGCAGCAGCAGCGGCGCTCTGACACCAGCACCCCGCAATAGTATCGGCGGTCCGACACCGGCACCTCGCCGCGTGAAAACACCGCAGCAGGAAAACATGATTGTCGACCAGGTCCAAGAGCCTCAACCCGAGGACGAGGACTTCAAGCGATGCCGCTTGTGTGCGCGTCACCACGCCCTGCGTGTTTACCAGGTTTCGCGCAATGCAACCAGCGCAACGTTACTTGATCGCCCGTGCACACCACTTCTGCACAAATTGCCTGGAGTTATCGCACCACAGCAGCGAATGCCCCTCCGTTGGTGTATGCAAGCTTTGCGGTCAGCTTCACCACACCCTGCTTCACCGCAAGTCTGCTCACTCGAACCATCAGCCACCGCATTCAGCACAAGCTCCGCGTAGAATTGAAGCCAACCGCTCGCCCCCGCCACGACGCAATAACGTCACGCGACGCGAACAAGAAGTATCAGCACCACCAGCACGCGCGAATCATTCAGCGCACTGCACATAAAGTGTGTAACATGGCGGGTAGAGGCAGGGCGACACGGATGCTAGTCAAGGAGGCGATCCGTAAACTAAAGGAGCTAGAGAGCAGCCTATCCGCTTAGCGCGTTTACGGGCGGCAGAATGGTTAAACGAGCGACGCATGCCGTTTAACCGTCGCAGCCATGAATTATTTTTTAAAAATTGAGTAACTTTAGAATTTTTATCTATCTACATATTGTATCCTTTGCCTTTGAATTGTCTAACGCAACTACCTACGTAATGTATCTTTTGCCTTTGAATTATCTAACGTGTATCTATTTACATTTTGTATCTTTTGCCTTTGAATTACCTAACATGCAAAAACATTGTAATTGGTGAATACCATGAATTTTAAACTTTGAAATATTTTATGAATTTGCGTGGTTGGCAACGCGCGTAGGTAAAGCAGCGCGCAGCTGACGTTTTAGGTTGACAAACTGTCAACAAAAGAAAAGAAAACTTATATACATACATACACAAAATTTTCAACCAATTAGTCGATCGGTCATCTCATTATAAAAAATTCGCAACCCCTTTGAATATTAATTAAATTATTGTTTAAAATCAAAATTCGCAGTTGTTCTTTCATCTAATTGAATTGCATTAAAGTTCGTGCATAAATATACAGATTTCGGACGGTGCAAAATTAGTTTATATTGACTCGGGGAAACCTTTCATAAAAGCACCCCTTGCCGGTTCTGCGAGAAGTTCGCCACATCGCGCCGTACTCCAGGTTCGCCAGTCATCGTCCACTGCGCTGCCAGCCGACCCTTGCACCAAGAGCATTTCAACGTCTACCACAAGAAGCCACTACCGCGCGAATCTGCACCCGCCATTGTCCAGCGTGACGAGCCACGGTGCAGCGAACAAAGGTGGCGCCGTCAGTGGTACCGATACTTTGGTTTCGCCGATTTTGACACTTGTGGTAACTTGTAAATAAACTTTTGTTACAAATCAGCGAAAGATAAATTTGAATTATAAGTGAAAAATCAGTTTAAATCGTGTTAATTTGCAATTTGTGAGTGATTTTACAACGCTTTTATCAACTTGCAATGTTGTGTTCCAGAAACTTTCAATGTTGTGTTCCAGAAACTTTCAATGTTGTGTGTCCGACACCATAAAGCTTTGCTTTGAAAAGTTCCTATAAAAAAGCATAGTGCATAGGGCGGCATCTGTAGTGAAGTAGTGCATAGGGCGACAGCTGTAGTGAATAGGGCGAGGTAGATAACATCTAGATGTCGCCCTATGTACTACGTTTGCTACAGCGGAAATAG